TTAGTTAATGTACATTTATTTTTTACTCCATGGCTCGCATGTTACGGTTTTCGCCCTGTGCTGCCTGATTAGAATGTAGCATTCAGTTGATTTCTCAGCGATGATGATAATAATAATATACATTCTGTGGCACAATCAGTCACTAATGGTAGAAACTGTAGCATCCGGTAGGGCACTGCAGAACCGATTTTTACCGGAACAGATTAACATAAATAAACTGAAATACTCTTTGAAAATCTGGTTAGCAAGCGAAGCGCTCTCTCTCGTGCAACTTGGGGAAACTGTCTCAGTTCTAGTTTGAAACCAAGACAGAAAGATTCCTCTTTAGTGGACGGAGTACAGTATCTCACAAATCCCTCGAAACAGCTAGGAATAGTCGGTAAAGGTTATCAGCCGGAGACTATTTGTTGTTGTTGTTGTTGTTGTCGTTGTTTCTTAAATATATATACATATATATATTGCAAGTCGTTAATGGAACTCTCAGGCCAACAAAGGTGCACCACGCCAGGAGGATCAATAAAGATTCGCAGTCCAAACCTCATAGCCAACACGAACGTAGAAAGTTTAAAAATTGCGAGGATGGACAACTTTTGACGTTAAAAATATAAAAAATTTTAATAAAAAACGTTTCGGTCAGAGACCTCCTTCAGTTATTTACCTGAAATAACTGAAGAAGGTCTCTGACCGAAAGGCTTTTTACACACACATATATATAGATGATCTAACTGATCATTGCTGCGGCTGTATTCAAAGCAGAGACAAGTGAGTGGTTCTTGTAAATTATTCATATGTTGTTTGCCAATGCTGCTGCTGTAATAAGTGTTGCCGAATGGTTATCAAGATAAAAATGCAAATAAAAATAACAACATTAATGTGTGAAATTTGGTCGATCAACGGAGTCGCGTGCGAAATCCATGCAACACAAAAAGTCTCCACGTCAAATGAACAGGAACAGACATTTACCTTATCCGAGTCTGTTTGAACATTGTCGCATCCAAGAAAAAAGGACGGGTATTTTGTCCAATCCTCATCATTTGAATTTGTTATAATATTGACAGTGGGAAGAAATATCTCTCGTTTATATCTCTCAGTAATATTCACCTCAATGCCTTCGTCCCCTGGCGAGATATTTGTTTCGAAAGGAGTAACCGCTTTTTAGCTCATCTGGGATGAAAACAGCTGGCTACGTTTAGCGAAATGCATTAGTATTTTTCTTTTCGCTTGAAACTCGGAGAGACAATTGTCTCTGAAAGACTCCGTCACGAGCCAAAGAAAGAAGCTGTTCTTTGTCTTTGCCAATAATTTGGTGACAAAAGCTGTGTTTTTCGCGGTGAATGATATGTTTTTTCTTTTGAATTTTGTCAACACTATGGTGGATACTGAAGAAACCGAAAGCGATGAAATCGACACGAATGAAATGTACATCAACTAAAGGAAAGAAAAACGACAATATACTATTGGGAGTATTCCAAGTGCTGCAAAATAAAAAGAATAAATAAATAACTAAATAAAAAAAAATAAAAAAATGAAGAAGACTGAAAGATGCGATGATGACTATTTCGATCTGATTTCATCAAACAAATCGAAATCTTAATTAGAAAGGCCTGCTATTTTTCGTTGTTTGATGATGAATGAAATGGGAGCACTATCACGTCCAATGTGTCCAATATGGTACTACTTAGCAAATAAAACAAAATCCAGTACTAACTGTACACATGTTGTATATTAGACTGTATGATTTGTTCATTTGTGCCAAGTCTCGTTCGATATTCAGCAGAAGGCCAAAACAGTACTGTCTGCAGTTATATGTTTTTTCATATTTTCTTCGCTTCGTCAATTATGTTCACTTCAAAGGACGAATTATTGAAATGCAAAACCTTTGGATAATAAGTTTTCGTTAATTGGACATTCACTCGTGGTAATGCCCGAGCAAATTTATGAAAGTGATTGTGGAAGGAAGGGAAATGTGAACAAATCACCGAGAAGCCAGATCACATTATGAAATACATCATCTGAAGAAGAAGATTAACTTGGCCGGGATTAATTGTCGGCCCTTTAATCTTTTGCCAATAGAAATAAAACAGAACAAAGTATGCTGTTAATATATGCCATCATGATATAGGAACCCTTTATTAAGCTGTGGATAAAAACACCTTTAACCTCAAGTTATTAAGAATGCATATCAAGCCATGGTTTACACTTCTGCACGTGTTCCTGTTTTGTTTTGCGAGTCATCAAAAACCGAACGACATCCTGTAATCATCTAAGTCTCCTAAGCGTTTTCCCATCCTTGTTTATCACCAAAATGCCCCAATTTTTGTAACCCCTTGGACAGTTTTATCTTTCTGTTAACGTGACACCTCTAGGCTATAGAGTTAATTTTCAGAAAGGACTTCACTATCAATCTGGAACCTGAGGACAATGGAACCGCTCTTTTCTTATCTCCGATAACTCACTTACCAGACTGCGGTATACCCTCTAGGTCAGTCAACCTAGCTGTTGGAAAACTATAAGCAAGCGATTCCTTGCAAGCTCTTTCGTTCTCACTGCTTGCAGGTGATATGCATAGGTCATCAAAAGTGAATACAACCGTGTTCAGCGGCCGACTGAGCGCGTTAAGGGTCTTAAAAATAGTCTCTTGCTAGATTAAAAATTTAAAACTTTTGCCATCATTCTTAAAACGTCAGTATCGTTTCACCCTAATTGGTAGGATTCGCAAGAGGGTACTGCGCAGCGATTTGAGCTTTTGCGATTGTTTTTTTGTTTTTGTTTTTTTCGTCTGGTTGTTCTGATGATCTTCCGCTCAATTCTGTGCTCACAGGTCGGCCCGCGTCCTTTCGTTTGCATAACACTTCACCAACCTGAGAATAACTAGCCTCCTCTCACATTGCCACCTCTGATATCGTGCTAATAACTACCTTCAGCTGTAGATGATATCGGGTTTAATATAAAGTGACCTACATACCCGGGTCTTCCTCCTTTTCTCTAATTTTCCGAAAGGAGAATTCATATATCTACCTCGCAATTTATTTTTGCGGGTTGTATGTAAAGAGTGTTTCGTTTTGTTTTGTTTTGTTTTGTTTTTTTCACTCCTGGCTGCTTTGTTCCTAGATACAGCTGTCCTTCACGAGCGAGTTCTTGCGCAAGCTAGTAGTCGCCGGTGAGTAAGGACTTCCTGTCCCATCACGTGTAGCTGGTTGGGGTCTAAATTACTACTAACTTTTGTTACCTAGCCCTGACAACATCAAATGACGTGGGTCGGCACGATCAGCGTGAAGAGTGTTTGAAATGAGAAAGGAAAAGCTACATTCATAATCGTGAAGTCTTGTATTTCTTGGTCAAAAACTGAACACTTCCGAAGCACTGAAAGTAGCATCATCAATTCTGAGTATTCACGGGACGTTCTTTAAGCTTAGTAAAAGGGTATTTCAAACCTTAATTGAAAATTAAAGCCTTACCTGAATCAAGAGTTAATAGATTTTTCCCTTCGAAGGACTTCAAAATTATAAGCAGTTCTTTGACTGTGGAATATGATCACAAAAACTATTGAATTTTATATACATCCAGAATTCTTGCGAAATCAATGTGTAAGTTATCCCTTGATTTGAGTTGCTCTTCATAAGTGAACTATTGTCGCGTTGTGATGTCGAAGCAGCCATTATCGCTGTAACTGTTTTTAAGAATTACCATAAGGTAGGTGTCCTGGTTTGTAATTTCGTTATGTATCAGTCTGCCTTTTATGTAAACAGTTTGGCATGTGCATCAGTGACACCCATTTAGTTTCTGCCACTTTTCTGTAATTAGAAAGGCAAAGTTTGCTTAAAGAAGAAATTACAACTGTTTTGTTTCACGGCCATTTAGACTAAGGGGAACAAGGATAGTGATATAAGGAGTGTTTGACTCGAAAACTATCATCAAAAGTTGAAAACTTGGAGAGAATGCCACACGAATTAAGAAAAAAAATTCTGAAAAATAGCCGAATAATTAACAACTATTCACTGAAGTGGAGGTGGTTAGTGGTGGATATTTACCGAGCCGCGAAGCGGCTCGGTAAATATCCACCGCTAACCACCGACACTGAGGTGAATAGTTGTTTTAGTATATACTAAAACAGTGAGATAATACACACCACCAAAAATCGATTTGAGTGATTTCTTCGCTTGTCACGGATGCAAACCGAGACGCCATTTTTTCCCGAGTTGCTTGGAGGTAAATAGCAAAGGATATTCGGAGTCCGACTAGCCAATCAGAGCGCGCCTTCAACGCTATCCACTGTTTTAGTATATACTAATGATAGATATTTCTGATAGACGAAACAATTGAAGCGAAGGATTTCGCTACTTTCGTTAAAAACTGCATATCGATCACCCGGTTTTGCCATGTAAACAGCTAACGGTGTTACTCAACGAGTTTCCCTTTTCACATCTTAAAAGTGAAAACGTTAGATGTTTTCAAGAATTGTCTGTGCCTCAAAGCCAATGTTTATGAGAAGAACTATTTTTATAGCATCTCAAGTTCACAGATCGAGATAACTATCCAAAGCGCAGCAACCAAATCGCTGCACAGATCATCAAAAGCAGTGCAGAGCCGGTGCTTTCAACAGTAATAACACGATTTTAATGAAATGTTCCTGCTTTTCAAGTACAGTTCCAAAAAAATATCGCGGAACGAGCGAATTTTACAATGACATTAGCTTTACCCCCCTTGCGTAAACAAAAGTAGCCAGTCAAACTGTAGGACACGAAGAAAGATTTCCAGCCAAAGCCGCGGGCTTACGCAAACCAGTGCTTAAAATCAAGGAAGAAAAGATGGAAAACAATTCCGAAAATATAGAAATTGCCGGTTTAGCTCTTTAATTCTTTGTTGAATTTTTTTTTTTTGTTACCAAGTTTTTTACACTGCACGTAAAGAATTACAGTCGAATGACTACAATCAAGCTCTCCTCTTCAGAACGGCCAATTTGTTTTGCTCCTGCGGACAGCCATAATAGTAATCGCCTCCGCAGCAAACCACGACGTGAAGGGTGAAAATATCATCTAGAAAGCGCCCTGGCTCCCCAAAGACGAATAACTCGTCCAAAATAAGAGTCTGCTACAATCTAGCGAAATACGCTATGTTTACTTAGCCAAGAAATGTATGTGGCTCAAATTCCTAGTTAGTCTAATAAATGTCTGTAACTACGAAAAGTTGTGGGACATTTTTATTGCTGTTTCAACAGTTTTTCATCCTTTAGCTTTTCAGTTCGAGAAAGCTTGTCGGTTAAGTATCGTTGTTTGAAAAATGTCAATTTTGTGTTCTTCATATCGAGTAAGCTGGTGAGGAAACAGTTTATTCTAATGAAACATGGCCCAAGGGTAGAAATTCCAATAAGCAGGAGGCAAATCAAGTTGAACTCCAATAGGCTATTTATGAACATAAAGGATTGTTAGAGGACACGACGGTAGTTGTCATGAGCTGATCACAAGTGATAATTGCCGTAACCGCATTGTAGTACAAAGTAAATCCGCCCTAAACTCCTTTAATTTCTTCGAGATACGAATTTAAGTGAGCTGTTTTCGATTTTCTTTCTCCTCCACAGGCATTAACCTCAAAACGAGCATCGGGTAAACAATCAAGTTTGCATAAGTTTATCGTCAGATTTTGTCATCATACCCATGTTTGAAGATCTTTTAGGCATGCAAACATGAATGTAATCTCCACGTCTCGGCAAGAGTTTTTAAAATCGTGTAAAATAATTCTGCATTGCGGTAACCAAGATATGCGCGTGAGCCACTCAGTTCTCTGAGTTGAACACTGGCCATATTTTAAGAGTTTGCATTGACTTTCACGATAAAACGGAAAAAAAAATCGCGTTAATGACATTCTGAGACTTGTGGCAATTACCAGAAACCGATCAAAGGAAAAAATGAAACTATTGACGGGTAATGAAATTTACAAGAGAAGAAATACTCAGTAAGACTAATCCTGTCGTAAACTCGTGAAAACGAGCTCTCATATCGCTGCGCTAACTGGCTGACTGGTTTTGCATCTTCTGGCCCGAGCTTGTGCCAAAACAAATCAAAAACAAAATAGAAGGAAATAAAAGAAAATTGTTTTTCACTGCCGTGGCTATAGCTGTCAATACTGCGACAACAGAAGAATAATTCTGTTGTTCAGCTAATAGTAAAGAAGAGCTATTTCTTCGCTAGTTTAGTTGATGGGTTAAATGGTTTGACTTAGTGTATTGTGAGAACGTTGTATTTTTAGTTAGTCATGCTGTTTGAACTATTGCTACTTCAATTCGTGCTAAATACATAATACCGGTATATCAGTTGAATAGGTAGACAGTCATCTATTTAGATAGGAGCTTTGAACATTTGAAGCCTACTGTTTTGTCCAGTTCTAATTACCTTCCCTTTACGCGTTGCGACTCTGCGCGCGGAAGCTTCGCGATAGCCATTCATAAGTATTGTGAGCGAACAAAACGTAGCAAAAATTAATTAGCATTATGTCGAAGCTTACGGGCAATTAAAATTCCGCTAGATCCTTGAGTCAGATTCACCCTTACAAACATTGTATGCTGTAACTGATTAATAAAGTAATGTTCGATAGGTGTTCTTTGCATTGTCATTCGAGAGCATAATTAGCTCCCAAGCTAAAATTCCTCCATCTAGATAAACCGCCTTTCTTACCTGTTTTAACGGAACAGCACTGCTCTGACAAATGCCTTCTAAAGGCAGCAGAAACCTTATTCCAGTTGCTGTACGGTTGGGGTTCCCTCTGTGTATATATAGCCCGTCAGCGTAATAACAAAGCAATCACTTGTCATAAAAAATTTACATTGTTATCTCTTCCGCTAGGAAAACTGCCAGTTTTACGATTCAAATCCATAACGTCGTTGCCTATTTCAACCTTTTTTCGTTTTTGAGATAAACTAAAACGAGGATATGATGTGGCACTTTTCTCGGATCCAAGAGGTTATTACTACATCAGAATTGTTCAGCTATCTTGAATCAAAAATTGTATCCACTACGTGGCTCTTTCAAGGCAAACAAAATCATCGCCGCTTGTGTAACAGAATTGAATATTCTTCAGGGCATTCAAAGGGAGTATGTCTTGTTGCCAACACGACAGGTAGTAAAGTCCACAAAGTATCGCTGTTTGGACTTCCTTCTGATCTCAATAGGCTCTTTTGCCTTTCTCAACGACGATTTTCACAGCTCTCAGTTTCATTTTCCGCCATAAAAAAATTCGAGGGACGGTACAATTAGAACATTTTGTGGTAAAGTTAGTATCTACCAACAACAACTGGAAAAACTACTGGCAACGAGGATCATATCTCCTGGAAATTTATCAAAACTGGTGCTATAACAACAGCAAGAAATTACTAAAGGCTGAATACCAATTACCTGTACCTCAAAATTTTCCCAGCTAGAAAAGACTCCCATATTATTCATGTTTACTGCTATTTCGGTTTTAAACTGGTTTTTGTTTTTTTTCTGTTGCTGCTCTTACATTCTTTGTAAATAGTATACACTTTAGCCTAAACATAGACGAACCCCGATTTATGAGACTTAAGTGATTTGTACTTTTCTCAATGCCTTTATGCTCAAGTAAGATTAAAAGCTGATTCACTTTAGTACAGATCATTTACATCTAGTAATTTATAATATCTACATGTAAATCCAAACTCAGTGACTTAGCGAGTTATTTGACACCTTTTCGTGCCTACTAAGTCTGAGGGAGGCTTGTTTTTGTTTGATTTGTCAGTCACCATTTCATTTTCAAGTAAACGTACGAAGGTATTAATTGTCACACACAAGTAGGGTTCTTCGTTCGTACACCCTAACGACTCGTCAAGCTTGCCCCGGGACAGTGACTTCTTTATACCACCTCCGTTTTAATACTACACGCTATTAGATGATAAAAAATTTTACAGGATATGTTAGACCATTTTGAGGTTAGCTCAAAGAGATTTGTGCAATAAACTACTTTTAGTGGCAAAATCGCAAAAATAAGTCTCTGATGAAGCTATTTTATAACAACATCCACGGTGACGACTTAGAAATGAAAAGACTGTCATGTAAATATTCATTTTAGAAGTATTTGATGGATTACTTCTGATTTTACAATTTTTTAAAATTCATGTTTTTTTCGTAGTATGTTTTAAACTATAGACTCCGGCCCCTTGTTTCCCTATTTAGTCTAATCTGGCTGAGCTTTTGTCTTTATCTCATCTATCAAATCTTCAGCCAAAACAGGCTTTTAAAAAAGGGGATCTAAATGGACATCTTAGCTAAACAGGTCCATCAAACTAAATTTCGTAAGTTCTTTTAAACGAGATTTTCACCATATCCTCTCAAGAGGATCTTGAGGGTTAGGATTAGAAGTCATCAATTTGAATCTATTCATGGCTTGATTTTTTTACCTACAAATATACCACAACCTTCTGATTAACCTTACGAGAATCAACAACTCTTTTGAGGCTCTAGTCACGAGAGTCAACTATCTTTTCCTTACTTCCTCTCCAAATGAGTGTGAAGTTTGAAGTGAGCAATTTATGGAGGAGTAGTTATCTCAGCACAGTGGCTCAAATCAGATGCAATACGGATTTCAATGATATCATTAACAGAGAAGCTTTTAGTACGAAAAGTTGTTTACGTAAGAACCCGAAAATTTTCAAAGAAAATCTGACGTTTGAATTGAATGTGAATCCATCTTTTAGTGATGTTTCCTTTCCACTGAAGAAGTATGACAAAAAAATCTCCTTATTATTGATAAATACTTTCGATTCTTTAAAAAAAAATCTGCTGGCGTCATTCTTCAGACAGTGCCACCGTGATGATTCAAACATTCAATTTCTTGTACTTAATTGTGACAAACACTTGCAAAAATTTTCATTTCCAATATGTTTTTATATTTTCCCATTAATTGGGAGTGTTTGAGCGTTGGAAAAAAATTCGAGAAGCAAGAATAAGTTAAGAAGGCATTGCGCAGATTGAAAACACAATCTTTTCGATAGGGTTTGATGAATCAGGTTTTGTCTCTTACCTGCCATGACTGGCGAGTATTGCACGATGAATTTTCGATGTTCACCACCCGTTAATATTCGTTCCCCCTGCCTCTGGCTTAGTTTACTCACTTTTGCAGCGTGTTGCGAGTTCCCTTGGCTCATTGGAGACTGAAGCTCGGCGAAGGTAACACAGCGCTTGTTTCATATTCATAACCCACCGTGCAATTACAGGATGAAAGCATATTCGGTTCTTGAATCAGATGAATCTAATTGCACATTGAAAACAAAAAGTAAGACTGAGTACTTTAGCAAGAAATCACTGTTTAGATCAGTTGAGCCTTGACTAAATAAAATAATGTAGAAAACGCTTTCAATTACATCCTCCCCAACACGAAATGGCCGGGTTGTTTCAATATCAAATTGATGCTAAACTGTTATCATCATGCAAAATATAATTTGCAAGTTTGAGTTCATGTTTTGCTGAGCAGTCAAACTTCATATTTAATGAAGCTTAAACTTCGTTGTTTTTCTATAAAGCCGTCCAACCACGCTTGTTATTAACACGTTGCAACAACTCATGTTTCCAGTGACAAGTGAAGTGTCAGAAAATCTTTCAGAAAAGGTGACACTTGTCAAACACAGCTGCTTCAGTTTTCAAACGCATTAGACCCAATGGTAACGAGGTACTGCCATTTCAATCGCCCGCAGTTCTAATGTTTTTTTTTTTTTAGATTTGAAGGGTTTTTTTTCATCGCTACCAAATGATAGCCAAAACGTTAGCGCCCCAGACCACCTCCCGTGAATCTTCCATTGTATCGTCCGTTGTTGCACTCAATGGAAAACACGTCAATCGTAGTTAATCGTCAATGTAGCAGACAGTTACTTTGAGTATCTTGCAATAAACATTTACAGGAGAGCGTTTACTTTACAGGTTGTAAATCTAAAAATTGCAGTTTTTAGTTATCGAATACATAAAAATTCAAATTCTTCATTTCATTTATTTGTTTTATTTATATATTGTGTTCTTATCAATTCCAATTTGTTGCACAACAGTCTTGTCTGCCAAGGTACATATCGAATCCTTCAGTTCTCTCACTGCAAACTCTATATGCCTGGGGTTCCTATAGCGTCCACTCCTTTGGGGCTTGATTAAAAGGTTTGTCTGATATTATTTTAAGCTTTTGTTATAAAAATAGATCAGCAAAATGGTGTTTTAAGCACTTCGGGTAGAAAGTTGTTTTTCCAACCAGCTTTTAAACTTAAAGTTTGTACTTTATATCACATTTTGCCCGAAGGAGTTTTCGACTCGGCCTTAAATTAAACCAAGACAATAATGGGAAGGAACAAAAGGGGTTAAAAAGCATTGAATGCAACGATATCTAGGAGTCGGTCGCAGTGACCGGTCACAGTGGTACTGTTAAAAAAGAAGTCAAGCTAGGCATTATATGATAGTCAAATTTATCCATGTAAACCTCTAGGCAGGATTGGTATCAGAAGAGGTATTTTCACTTCTGCGAGCTCTAGGAAACTCAAAGAGGACTAAAACATAAAACATTGCGAATGTTAATCTTTCGAAAAGTGATTAAAAGACAGTTAATGGCAGAACGGTACACTGTGAGAAATGAAGTGAGTGAAACCAATATGAATCTCAGCTGGACATATTGGTCTGTCGATATTCGATGGAAAGAAGATGATATAATCGGACTTAAACATGAGCCGTCTATTTAAAACATCTCACCCTCAAAATAAAACAAATGAGTAATCTCTTCATAAACCGCTCAAAAAGTAACCCAACCTTTTCCTCAATTGTAATAAAGAGTTAATCTTTGGATGCATTTTGAATGTTAGTTATTATTCTGAGAGCATGTGCTTTATATGTTAAAAAGGGGACTGCAAAATTTTAATTAAAGTTCAATATTCTCAGGATGAACGAATTTCCCTCAAAGAAAACTGAATTTTGCATCATGCAGCACTCGAACCTAAAGTCATCAAACTGTAAAACTTACCGCACTTGTCTTTTGTCCTTTTTGTCGTTTTTGTCCTCACTGCATCTTCCTCTCGCTTGGGTTTTGATGAAAGCCTTCCGGCTATAAATATGAAAGAAGGTGTTGAAAATGTTTATTTAGTAGGAAGTAATTCATATCACGAGACAGCCCTTTGTTATTTGAGTCGTTTTAAATTAATTTATTCTATATGATTCCCAGTATGAAACAGGACCAAAAGGTGCCACTTTAACAAAGATGATCTCAAGTAATTTTCACCAGTCGGGTTCACGCCGTGAAACGCTTCAATTGCGATCAGTTAGGACTCTTCCATATTAGCCGGCGGGAAAAAGAATATTCCTCACACAAATTGGCCTCGCTATTGGGTGGCGACACTGGGCTAAGAAATTAATATTGAAATCTTTCATTTTGCCTGACAAAGACACGATCACCTCTTCCCTTTCATATGACGAGAATGGTGACCTTTTCAGGAAGAATCAAGACCTGATCGATATACTCGAAAGGTTGTAGCCAAAAAAAAAAAAAAAAGAAAAAAAACTAAGGTTGTGAATTCGTTGGAAATGTTATTTGAAAAATGGCCTCAGGCGAAAAGCCGGTACTATTTTGTGAAACATTTCATACGGCACTGCATTTACAGAGGTGATTCATTACATGTGTTTACCCCTATTCAGAATTGTCAAAAACACTCATGTTTAATCACATTACCAGTAATTTTTCGTAGCCAAAACTTTACCTGATAAGATGCAGGATCATTTAGTTCTTGATTGCGTGTGATCGATGTATTCAAATACTTGGCAATTTCGTGACGCTGTTCGACCCCCATTTGAAGCCTTGCATTAAAATTAGCTTTATATCAATAATAGATGGACAAATATTTATTCGGTGTGAATACTTTCAATGATTTTTGCTCAAAAGGAACCTTTAATCCGTGAGAGTGTTCGTACATAAATCGGACGGTCAACATTAACCCTAAAGGCAGCTAAATTTTCAAAAAGATTAGTTTCGAATGATAAAGATCTCTCATTGCGCAGGAGCTGTTCAATAATAAAAAAAAAAACCCTTGTGAGCCTAACAGTGACAAGCTCTGATGCAACGTCTGAGTTCCATAATTATAATAAATAGTTCTTGTCGTAAAGTTAAGGCTAAGGTTCAATTTCTTATTATTTTTCAATTTTTACAATAACACATTTCATCTCTTGTGTAAAGACTGCAACAAGTAATATTTAATTTTTATTTTTCCTAAAATCGTGAATTGATCAGGCACCTTTTTAATCTGTGCTCGGAGGTCCAAATTTGACATCCTTCTTACTTCAGCATATTTGTTACAATTTCTTACAATTTGTGAGTAATTGCCTTTTTCTCTATTACTGATGCTTACTTTGGGCCCTCCTCATGTCTTTCCCCGTCCGTTTTGTAGAGGAAAAGCTGTGTTTTCGTGAAGTTTTGAACATCACTTATTAACTTATCGCGATGGCGTAGCATCGGTGGATATTGGAGGCCTCAGGCAAGGTTTGGAGATCTTTGGGTAAAAGGTAGTAGTTTACGTCCAAAAAAAAAAAAAGTGCAGTGTTTTTTAAACTTGTGTATTTAAATGAGCGCAATGAAAGTTGGTCTAGAGCCGAACCTTGTGGCTCTTGGTACGTTAACTTTGCGGCTCTCTTTGACTGGTGGTTTTGAATCGTACAATTTGAACCAGTCTACCGCAATACCGCTTATTCCGTAATGTTCTAACTTTGCAACTGCTTTGGGATTCTGAACTTGCACTGTTTTCGATAAGTCGCAGAGAATTCGTGCGGTTAGCTTATTTTCCTCAATTACATTCAGTACATTTGATGTCGAATCCATAGAAGCCAATTCCGTTTGAAGATTTTCCCTGAATCCTCGCTGTTTTCAATATGGAATACTGTGTTTAACAATGCATTTTATTAATCGTATTTATATATTGATTTTTACGTTTTCTTTAGAATGCAATTGTTCTATAGTTTAAGAAAAATGATTTATCATCATACAGCGTTATAAGTGGAATATTTAGTCTACTAGGAATAATACTTGTTTAAAATGATTTATCAAAAATCAAAGGGAAGGGTTTTTTTGATAAGGGAAGCTATTCGTCGAATGCGGGCGTCATAACCAACACATTTATTTCTGTATAATTTCATTTATTCTTGCTCATCAACTTCCTCTTTGATTCGAGGGTCAACAGAAAAATGTTAGGGGAAGTCTCTTTAAAGAAAGATTTAAAATTTGTTATCATCGATTCCGTCTCAAATTTTTTTTTCGTAAAAGTAGGATTTTTTTCTGGAATTTATTTGTTAATATAATATAGATAATATAGATCAATTTCTATAGCGCATTTCCATGTAAATGCTCTAATGCGCTTTACAACACTGTGCGGGGGACTTTTCCAGACTGCCGGCGGCAGTTTACAATTAGTAAAGGAGAAATTTTTACAGATGCCCCCTCCCTCCCTTCCCAGTAAACAGGCCAGACCACATCACAGTAATCTCGTGATGTGGGTTCTTTAACGTCCCTTGCCGAAATTAACTAATTGATAGGTGCAGAAGACGGGACCTCCGGCTTTACTTCCTATCCGAGAAGACGAAGCAATGTGAGTGAAGCGTCTTGCTTAAGGACACAACGTCAAGCCCCAGCCAGGAGTTGAACCCGGGCCATCTGAGCTAGAGTCCAGCGCACTGACCACTGGACTACTCACGCCTCACATTTGTTGAGTTCATTCGTCAGTTATCTTTGCAGGAACTGCTCCATCTCCAATTTCACGCGACGGAAAACATTTGTTTGAACTTGAGCTCTGTACTGAATTTGTTTAATATTTTTTTTTGTGCCTTTTCTTTACCACACGTATGAGATGGTTGGGTTTTGCTTCTATATTTCACTTCTAAGTATATATTACTCTTTTAAGTAATATATGGGTGCTGTGCCAACATATGTTTGAAAGTATCGACCACATTCTAATTCTTCTATCGCTGCTTTCCAATTAAAAAATCCATAGTTTACATTTAAGTCCTCTTAAGATGCAGCATTTGAAAATTCTCAAAGAGATAATTTTGAATCGTTGTAGTTAGACATCTATACAATACGGGGTGCCTAAATATCTTCAAATGATGCCAATGCTTTCTTGGCCGTCTGCCTGGGCTTTCTCATTCTCCGTCGAGATATGTTCGGGGTCACTCTTGGGCTTTCGACGAAGCACAGTTGAAAAATTATTTCGAACCAAAGCTCTAAAACTTGAAAATCGTCAAATAAAGCCAATGACTTGTCTGTTTCTTAACACGATTTTTTTTTTAAAACTTGAAAATATATTTATACCGGTATGCACATTCTCCACAATGTTCTAGTTCTATTCATTTCTTAAGGAGCTGACAAGGAGAATTTGTTGAACAATCAAGTTTCTTTAAGGGTGATCATTTCCTCTCTTCTCTCCCTCACACTGCTATGGCCAGGGGCAGAGATTTCCTCGAGTGGCAAACGAACTTTGGAAACTTAAGTTGAAATTACACTTATTGGATAAGTTACAATTTTGATGTTAATTCATTCATCCTTTCTCTAGTTTTGAGGAAAGAAACTCAAGTCAAAACATGAGCCGAGGGACAGGCTTTACAGACTAAGCTTCAAAATTTGTAGTTGGAAAAATCGCAAAGTTTTCAGAACAAATTTGCGAAGAAAATTAAATTAGGCAAAATGTCTTCTTCAGAAGCTCTGAAGTGCCTGAATTGGCTCCCTCTGGCTGGAAGACGTCTATTTCATCGTTGTACCACCGTAGAAAATGCAATCAAAGGAGACATTCCGCAACATTTTGAAAGTTTTAAATCGACATTGAGAAGTTCGCATGGCTACAACACCAGAAATGGCTACTTACCCAGACTGTCTAAACCTAAAACGGAATGCGGAAAGAGGGTGTCCTACTTCCGTTATATAAATGACTGGATGTCCCTCCCAGTATTTTTAAGAAGGCCAATGCCATGCACAATTTTTAAGGAAACCCTTACAAGATTCTTGATGGATAAATATTTTAAATGATGGATAAAACTTTAGATATACGCCGTTTTAGATCTGTGACAATTGTATTTCTTATTTTAGCTTTTAATACTTTTTATTTTTACGGAGGACCTCCCTGAAAACCACGTATTTACGTGACGGGCGCTTCCTCCTTAAAGATTGTTTATTATTATTATTACTATTATTATTATTAGTTGGGCGTGGTTTTCAACATTGATTGGCGCAGACTGAGATCTTAGACTGTCTCAAGCCAAACAACTCAAGTCATGAGTCGAATCTAGTGAAGTCCAAATTGGGGGTTTATTTGTTCGGATTCGTTCCGGAATTGTCGCCCATCGAGGATTAGGTGAGTTTGCTGCTTACGGGAGCCAATTGGAGCCACTGACATTCCTTAACAACACAGGCGCTTCCAAAAAGTTTGGAACTTGTAAAAACATTCCACAAACTCACCAGTATTGACTCTAACGTTTTTATTTAGTTTACAAAACAACATTAATCCTCTGTTTATGAACAATAACTTGCCTCTGGATATGTCCTGTACACCAACGAAATAAAAAAGATTACAATTGTCCCATCACACACCGGTAACTTTTAAAATAAAGTAGTCTAAGCACCCGCATCGTTTTTAGTTCATACTTTTCTTAAACTTGTTTTCCGTAAGACAGAAACAAAACTTCTGTCGTTGAGGGTGGCCACAACAAACTGTCTTCGTTCGCGAGGCATCAAAATATAACTTGCACCAACTCACTTTCGAGTAACAGTAATAGGGAGGTTAAGCTCAGAACGCAAAATAAAAAAAAAAATTCCTCAGGGTCTCCCTTGCACTCTTGGAGGGAAAAAACACTTAACTGTCAATAGTGAATAACTACTCGTCATTTAGTCTTACAGTAATGATACCTATTGTGAAGGACGCCACTTCCTGTATCAACATTTTAAAACCCAATACTTCGGTTCATAGATAATATTACAGATTAAGCTCACGTTAATATTAGTGCTAACCAGCCGAAACTGAAAAATATGCTATGGATACTATAACTCACAAAGCCATCTTACAATGAGTGTGCTACAACTAAAACCCAACAACTGTTTGTCCCGAAAAGCGAAAAAAAAAACAAAAACAAAAAAACAAACGCAAAAAACCAAATCAAAATTAATCATCAATCTCCATACAAAAATTGAGGTAAAAAAATAATATTAATCACTGCTACATCAGAAGTATATAAATGGCTAGTAGTCATAGAAACAGTACAACATGTTAATCAATTATAATTATTGTAATCATTAACCACCAAAGCCGTGCAATGCGGCTACGAACTTAAATTAACAATAAAAAAAAAAAAAATTAACCAAAAGGAAAAGTCCTAACCAAACAATGCCTTCATAGTCAGTCTTCTAAAAGATTACGCACACTGAATGCAATGGGGAAATTGAATTAACTTGAACACTGCCAATGGAATGCCACATTGCTGCACACCTAGTACGGTTATCGCTTTTCTGCCCCGGCTTAGGATCGGTCAAGACTGATATTAGTTTAGCTACAATCCGCTTCCATAAATATCACAAGGTGCATTACAGAAACCTCTGAATCTAATCTTGAAACAAACTTCAGGCCCAGGCAGGAGGTTTATCTTACAACAAAACGGGTAGAACTTATCATGTTTGTCCTGAACGTACAAGTTTACATACATAAAATCTTTAGTTTTTGGCTTTAAAGTTTGTATAGTTTTAATGAAGAAACCTTTTTCGCTCCCCCCCCTTCTCCCTGAGGCCTAGAGCTTGTACTATCTGGCTAGGAAGCAGAAATGATTAAATGTATAAATAAAACCAAATAGCCCCTACAACAATGTATGGCCCCTAACAGCCTCTAGTCTTTGTACATCAATACCGAAACGTCAACTCTAAAAACGTTCACTGTCTTGTGAGAACGAAGATTTTGCCTCACGCTATCCTACCCCTTTTTCTTTCTAGTTGATGTTCTGATTCTGCAAAATAATTCTTAACTATGACTGTTCTTCTTTAAGCCTGATGGTTACACGTACATAGTCACTGCTTTGGGAGTGCAATCATAATAGCTACAGAACCTGTAGCACTCTACGGTTTTGTTATGACTTGAAGTGAGCTCTAAAAGTTTTTCACTTGAATATTAAAATTTAAAGTTATAAAATGAAATCAAGCTAGGCAAAGTGAGTTGAAAAAGTTTCTGTAAGGGCTGGTTATTTAAACAAAGACTAGCATGGAAAGATTTATACACTGGTACTGTATGAAGACTGGCATAGTTTTCTTGACAAATAGTTTGTTAATTGTAAAGAATTTTTTTTTTAGCTTTATTGAAACTGTTCACAAAAATCATTGTTTACATAGACCAGCTGGCTTATTGGAAATGGTTCAGAACCATTTTAACATCTAAATTACCAGCCCTGGGGATTTGGTATAAGTACCGTAAAAAAGCACATTCTTTAGTGATATTACTGAACTTTAGTTTTTTCAAAACCTTATTCTATAAGTATCTGTAAACAGCATAGATGTAAACAAAGTTAACATAACTTTAGGAAGGGCTTGTTATTGGTCCTGGAGTACCAGTTTGTTATTTGTGGCTCTTCAGAATATTTTCAAAATAACGAAGCAATATAACTTGAACTAATACACAAAAATAACACATCTGTAATTTAGCTTCTCGTACTTTACACATCTATGGACTTTCTGGCATTTTTTCTTTAAACGTAATATCTAATGCCTTAAGTTTGACTTGGGCTTTATGGGGATTGGTCAGCTGGTGGCCTCAACTTCTCTTGTGGATTTCTTGAGACTAACTCTCATGAACTCTGGTTTAGTTGCTTCTGTCTCTTTCTGTTTTTCAAAATCCTTGAGAAAAAATAAATATCCATTTTAAACCTTTGACCTTTAAAAGTGACTAGCACTGAATTTCTCCTTGCAGTATCGCCCCTGAATAAAACATTAGTGTCAAGAAAAAAGAGGAAATGATCATCAACTATAGCAGCTCTTGATTGTTAAACAAACTCTCCATGTCAGCAATTTAGGAAATGCAAAGAGAACAGTTTGGAGAATCTGTATACTGATTATTACCATATATGCAAAAATCCATGAATTCAATGTACAAACTTTGAAATATTATGCTAAAGGAGTTTAATGGAAGGATTAACTTTTCTTGCCTCACCTCTTGTTTCTGAGAGATGCTGCGAAATCTGGATTCCAGCTCACTGTCAACACTACTTTTACCCTTTTCAACTTTGGCAGACTTTTTGTGTTCAAACTTTTCCCATGTTTTCATAAGTTCTGGTCTTCCTAGCTGAATGCCCCTAAAAGGATAATTACAATCATAATCCAGTTAACCTTTCATGGAAACACAGGAAAGAGAGTAGTGAACTGAAGGTCTGTCTGCAAAGGGTGGATGAGGAAAGCCACCTTGTGGGTATTCCTCGTCAAATCTGCTTGGCTATTTAACATTAATTTCATAACAACTGCTCAGAATTTTGATCAGCAATACATGTACAAAAAGAAATAGAAAATCCTGTTGTTTCAAAGTAGAGTGGTAACTATGAGCTTTTGTTCACTCTCTAGTATGCTCTGGTACTTGTTTACACATTGCTTAAGGAGGCTTAAAAGGGTTTTTATGCTGGGGAAGAATGGATCCAAATTAATGTATCCCACACCCCTGGCACTCCTTCGAAATTGGATGGTGCGAGTAATAAATGACAAAGGAGGCTGCATATCTTTTCAAATGAACAACACCATATCTTAAAATCCAAATTTAGTGAATAGAGAAGCAGGTTGTGGGACCCTAACCTATTCATTTTGTTTATTTAGGTGATTGCATAATTCTCAAATCTTTAGTAACCCCTATCCTGAATGAAATTGAACAGCTTTAAAATATTAAAATAACAGGGCTCTTTGAAAAACAGACCCCTAGCCTTTTTCATTCCATAAGCTGAATGTGGCTAATTGCATGATAAAGAAGGAGAAGACTTTTTCTAAAAAAAACTTAAAGAAAAGTGGAAGTTTTGTCCACAAAATAATTCAGGCAAAAAAGGGATTAGGAGTGAAGTATCCACTACATGCAAAAGAAAAGGTGAAATTCAAATATGGATTTAAGTATTTCTGATTGTTTGGTTGTTTAATTTTGTCAAAGCATATTACACAAAATTCAACCTCACCATTCATTTGCACAACTTAGAGGCAGAAAAAAGTCAAAAGGTAAATGTAGTTGAGTCAGGAATCATTGATGTACAGACAAAAACATCACTAGGGTGGCTCTTTGAAGTTAATAGCAATCCAGAAGTTAGCAAATGCAGGTTTGGCCTTTACAATTCTTCCAGAAATCAAATCAAAATTTGGACTGGAAGAATTCAATTTGGGTTATTACACTGCTGTCATTGACTTGAAATTACCAGCCTTGCCCAGATAAGTCAGACAAGTTGCCAGGAGTTTCAATGAACAGTAAAAAGAACTCTTCCATGAGTCATGACCAAAATATATTGATGATGAGATTGATAGCCTCATGATAGTTTCATCTTCGTAGATGTACTTTCCAGCTACTGGGTTGTATTGATTAAAGTTGAATTACCCAGGTTTGAAAATCAGTAAATACATTTATACACTACTTTTCATCTTCAACTGACAATCTGACAGAACAGACTTTATCTTAGGTCTGGAATTTTCTATGATTTCTGGTGGATAACAATTGGAGTTGTGGACTCATTTCTTTAGCATTAAGCAATGTAAAACTATCACACCTTTGCTGGCTAAATTTAAGGTCTTTACGTAGTTCATCTTGTTCCTTAGAAGCAGAGAGGGGTATGACGGTCCTCTTTAACTCAGGAGTTTTTGGGGGAGTTTGTGTTTTATCATCCAAGTAGTCTTCTTTAGGGTACTTTGGATGATTCCTTCCTTTAAACACAAAAAAAGGGTTTGCCATTTTAACAAAGATTTGGGCATGTAATATTCATCAACTGGTTTCTGGCTTTGACAGAAACTTGATTTAACATTTTGAGACTTCCCAAAAAGGGTTCAACAGGATATCACCATTACATAAAATAGTATATTGATGAAGATTGCCATGCCATGCCATGCCATGCCATGCCATGCCCTTAATAACAAACTGCTATCCTTTGGTCAACACATGAGTAAAATTGTTTGACTACAAATAGGGAGGAGAATTGGTTTTTGAGTGCTCTAAATATATCCAAACAGAGCTTACCAAAATGGTATCCAGTTAGCTTCAGCGGAGTTTGAGACTGTCTACTGCTACAGATACTCTTTCTTTGCATTTAAACTAATAGTTCTTGTACAAATGTGCTTGTTTTTTTAACAAGGAAAATACTTTACCTGGATTAGGATTTTGCTGAATCTTTGCTGTGAGCTCACACAAAGCATCCATTTTGATTTTCTCTTGTTTTGAAGACACATCCATATGGTCTAAAGTCAGTGGATCTATAACTGAAGTACACTGCAAAGCAAAATTAGATCAGTATCAACATCAGTCAAATAATGATCTTCATAAAAAATATCATACCTAAAGGGTTTTTGCTATTCGCTTTTTCACAGAGGTTAGGTGCTTATGTTCCCTGTTAGAGCTGAAATATTTGACTCTACTTGGTGAATGCCTTTTCAAAATTTAATAAATCACGATCAACTTTCCAAAAGTACCGGTAAGTTTACAAGGACAATATACAGATACTTATTCTAGGTATTTAGGTAACCAACATAAATAACACAACATAAACTGAGTTTCAGTGCCAAGTGGCCACTGAAAGCATTTCTTTAGAGTAACCCTATCACATAAGATCTCTTCAGAAAAAAAAAAAAAAGGCAGAGTGGGCTCTTTGACAATAGGAAAGATAACCAGGTGACATGCATGAGGTGGTCATGAGGTGAAATTCTGTTGTGCAGTGTACTAAACAAAGTAATAGAAGTACTTCAAAGAAGTGTCATTTGCTATTTGACATAGCTGTTCTAAGCACTGGAATTGTATTCACTGAATAGAAATCTGGCGTCCAATTTGAATTACCATTGTTTTGGACTTACTAGCCTCGTCTTCACATGGAAACACAAAAGGATTATCACATGTGTGAGAGGCTAGTAAGTCCAGAACAATGGCAATTGAAATTGGATGCCTTATTTTGATTCAGTGTATTATTACAACAAATAGAATAAACAGAAGGAGGTTTTCAGAATTGAAACTGGTGGAAAATAAAACCAGCTAGCTATTTACAAAGTATGCCTAGGAGATGAATTTAAGACATAAAAACAAAATAATCCAATTGAACAGAGGGGCAAATGAATTGAACTTACAACCATCAGATTACATTTATGGAATGGTCAGAGAAGAACTGTATGTCTAGTAAAAGTAAAAAATGCAAGGAGCTAGTTATCAGAAAGAAAGGCTGTACGAATGTTTTTACGCCAGTTTTCAGCATTCCACAAACTTGTCAACTTTCTGTCCTTGGCTTAATATTACAGGATAATTGTCAATTTGATTGTCATGTGCATGTGAAGTTGATTAAGGCGAATAAGTGCTTGTTTATATTAAGATCCTTACGTAAGGAAGGTTATTCTCAGGCGGAGTTAGATCACTTATTTTCAAGTATTGTGCTTCCTAGCATCACTTATGGGTTGTCGGTATATGGTGCTTCTGAGGCGGAGCTGACAGCAATGCAGTGTTTTCTGGATAGATGTCACAAACGTAAATATACATCTAAATCATTTTCTATTAAACACCTTCTGGAAAAGCAGGATAGAAAAGTATTTCGTAAGGTATCTGGCATAGACCGACACCCTCTAAGGGGA